GAGATTTATGAGTTCCATAGGTGGGAGGATGAAGGAGTAGCTTGGGCTTATGCGCTTTATAGAGAAGATCAATAATTTCAAGGATGAGAAAGTAGGAGACATGGTTGTAATGTCTGTTGGGAGCTTGCAGTAGCCAAGAGAATGGGTCGATGGTCACTGGATGCTTGCAGCAGCTAAGAGAAATGTGAGTTCTCATGGTTGCTGAGAGGCTTGCAGCAACCAAGAGGAGTTGGTTTTGCCTGGGCAATGCCTCCAAATTTATAGAAGATGAAGGATCTCTTTGGTTTCCAATAGGTAAAAGGAAGTGTTGGAGTTAGTTTATTTCCAACAGGTAAAATGAAGTATTTGGACATTCTTATTTCCAGTAGGTAAAGCTAGACATTGGAAAATGACTATTTCTTATGGGTAAAAGGAAGTGTTGGAATTGGCTTATTTCCAGTGGGTAATAGGGAGCATTGGGACATTCTTATTTCCAACAAGTAAAGCTAAGCATCGGAAAATGACTATTTCCTATGGGTAAAAGGAAGTGCTTGAAGCATATCTCATTTACTCACCCACATTGGAGAACTCCAAGTAATGCGCTTGAACTTTGGTACTTGAGTTATTGGTCATATGCTATGTGTTTGCTTCTTTTGATTGATCGCCTTAGGTTGTATGCATCTAGCTAAAGTTGAGAAGTTGTGTAAGATACTCAAGAACATAATTTCTAATTAGCAACAAATGATTGAATCCTTTCTAAGTGAGCATAATGTGAATTGGTTTCTCGGATGCTTAACGTAAACATCATACTATTAGTGTTCTTGTGATGTTCATATTTTCTTCAATCTTAATGGGTTTTTCATATGATTAAATCAAAGTACTAAGCACACCTAGATTGATTGTATGGAAAGCACGAGTATTGTAGCACTAAACACGCACTTTACTTATTTTAGAGAGAATCGTGCATCTTGAGCCACTAAACCCGGTCTTGATTGTGAACATCTTCATTAATGCATCTAGAGTTCATAACTTGAGTATCCATGAATATGAGTAGGATTATTTAGGGTGGATTCCGAAAACCCTAGTGTTTTTCACCATATTAAATTACACTTTGTTAATCACATTTTATGATATTGTTAAAATTAAAATTTGGTTACATTTAATCATTAGAATTAGGTCACTTGAATCAACCCCCCCCCCCCCTCTTCCCCCCTTCTTCTTTGTTTGTGTGTGTTGTTTAAAACTTTGAGTGTTCTTTCCACTAAATTATGCTCACTTTTGTATCTGTTTTTTGACATTTGGTTATCGTAGGTTCTTTATTTTTCCGTGCTAAATCCAACCATATAAAGAACATGAAATTTGGATTAACAGTTGGAAAGTTACAAGTCAAAACCGGGACAAGGGTCGAAACTGAAAAACAGAGGAAGTTCATAAATTCGTCTCTGACCTAAAATGAGATAAAGTGGTGATATCCTAGTGATACAAAATGTTGCTTGTGTTTAATATCCTGACAGATAACTTGTTCTAAAAATATAAAATAAAATATTAAAGTAATATAAATCTTGACAGAATTCATAATTGCTTCAAACTTCCTCAATCAATAAGAAAATTCCATCGATACACCTTCCTTCTTTTCGTAGCCATAATTGATGCTCAAGCATGATTTTCCGTATTTAAACCCAAATTTTCTGATTTTGAATTTTGTTCATTTTCTAAATTTCCTTCGTAGCAACAAGTTTATACTTTGTCCTACATCATTTCTCTTTTCATTAAGTATGTATCCCAAATGTTAAAAATAGAAAATCATAAATAAATAAAATTGAAAAAATTGAAAATTCGTTATAAGTCCAAAATCGAAAACATAAGTTGGATGTAATCCTTGTATTTGTTGTTGTTGATACAAGTCCTTTGACTTTTGTGCCACGTATGATTACATTTTGTTGTTGTTGATATTTACATATTATTATTTTCATTTTTAAATTACTTTGTTATTCCCATCATGCCCCTAAAAATTAAATAAAGTAAGAAATTAATTTTTGTCATAATAATTATGCTATTTTCAAAATGATATAAACGGAAAATATTGCCACAAATCTCTCCTATAATTTTTGAAATAGCTATTATATTTCAGTCATGCTCCTATATGAATGTTGGCTTTCTTTTTGTTGTGGTTTTGTATTCTTGCACTATGGCAACCTGTATACAAGGTACATAAATATTTTTGGGAGATTCACTAATATACCCAATATAGGAGCCCAAATTATAAAAAAACCCTATATGAAATGGAATTTATAAATACACCCAAAGCCCATTTATAACATAACAAAAAGGCTTTTAACTTCTTTTAAATTACAAAATTGCCATTGATTTCTTAAAACAAACCCAACCCAAAATTTCATAAAAAAACCAAAAACACTCAATAGGGTATCAAAGTAATTTAATAATTAAAATTAAATTTAATAGTACCATTTGTCATTTTTTGGGTTTTTTTTGGGTATGTTTATAAAAATGAAATGATGTAGGGTTTATTTATAGTTTTAGTGCTAAGAATGGGTATATTACTAAATATCTCAATATTTTTTTACTCTTTACAACAGCTTTTGTTATTCACTGATTTTGTTTGTTTGTTTTCTTCTTTGATAATACAATTCCTCATTGTTTTACTTTTGATTTTGTTTAGCTCACTGTTTTTCTTCACGTTTTTGTTGTTGTAAAGTTCATTCCCACGTAATATCTTTAATTAAGATGCAATTAACCATTAACACATGTGGGTTTTGTGTTTTCCCCCCACATCATTTTCAATTCCTTTGTTTCTTTATAGTTAATTATCTTCCAGTTTTTCCTATTTTCCCCATGTTTTTGTTGTGACGTTTTACGATTATTGGTTGTATCTCTCAAATCCACACATTTTATCTAAAATCTACATGTTTATCAGGTATAGTAGAGGATACCCCACTACTACAAAAGTAGGCAAAAAGCACGATCCAAAGGCCACGAAAAAGAGGGTTGTGCCCTTCTGAATCACACAAATATATAATATTTGTGTCATATACAAAAAGGCATAATCATTTCGTGTCAAATTTGAATAGAAGAAGGAAATAATTGTCCTTAAGTGAATTTAGGCACAACTTTCGTGCCCAATTGCCATACTTGTCGCTTTGTTATTAGTACACTGTTAACACGTGATTTAATAAGGCACGTATAATTGTGGCCAACTTACTGACATTTTGTGGCCTTTTGCTTAAATATTAATAAAAATTATACCCACAAAACATTATTTGTGCCTTCTAATTACCAATAAAATCATCTCCTCTTGTTATCTTACATGTACATTGAGGAATTGCAATGGATCCTAGAAAGAAAGTTTCAAAAAATTTGTTTGGTAACTGAAGTTCTTCTGTTGGTTCAAGTCCAATTAATTCTTCTCCAAAAAAAACTGAAGTCATCATCATTGAAGACTCACCACCTAGAAAAGCCAAACACCAATCTTCAGGGCCGGTACCACCAACTCTGCAAGGGAAGCAAGACGAAAATGGAAGGCAAACATTAATACCAAATATCATAAGCTTGTCAAGTGATACTGAAGTTCTTCCGGTAATCTCAGATGCAACAGGGTCAGATATTAGCACAACTCGTTATTTTGGTACTGATCATGGTGCTTCTGTTAGCACAGCTCGTTCTTCCGGTAATCTCAGATGCAATAGTTCTTCTGTTAGTTATAAAAAATTATATATAGATAATACATCCCCATTTGGGCACGATTTTGAAACTGTGCTAATATTGCACTTGTCAAATCAATCTAAGGCTTCCGTCAGTTGTCAATATAGAAGCACAAATGCTTGGATTCGTGCTCTAAATATTTGCCACGAGTCAACATATTTGTGCTCTATAATTAATAGAAGCCCTTATACAGGAGACCGACCACTATAAAGTGGCTGCACCGTGGCTATCTTCATAGGGCACGATTATCCGTGCTGTTTGAAACAAAGAACTCAAATAAAATTTACAAATTTATAAATAAACCCAATCCTAGATATGTATTTATAAAAAAACTCAAGCATTATTTAAACATAGAAACACACCCAAAATCAACCCCAAAGTCAACTTTTTGGGTGTGTTTATAAATGGGTTTTGAGTGTGTGTAATGATGGGTTTTGGGTGTGTTTATATGTTTAAATAGTGCTTGAGTTTTTTTATAATTTCAACCCCCATTTTGAGTGTTTTAGTGAAACTCCCAATAAAATTCATGCTCTTAGCCCAGTTTTCTTGTAGTGCTTTTAGCCCAGTTTTCTTGTAGTGCCCCTTATGTGTTAGGTACATTATGTTATATTTACCTGGTAATTAGGTACATTATTTTATATTTAACTAGTATTTAGGTACATTATCTTATATTTGTCTAGTATTTAGGTACATTATCTTATATTTACCTAGTATTTAGGCACATTATCTTATATTTAACTAATAATTAGGTATATTATATCATATTTACCTAGTAGAGTCAGGTAAATATTTGTTGGGAAGATATCATCAATAATTCTCCTACTTTCATTGTTTTATATGAACTTCTTTTATGTCATGGCGGCAATAGAAGGATTCAAAATTTAAAATATGAAATCTATTTAGAAGGAAAGAATCAATACATTAATTTGGATTTTCAATTAATATTCTTTCCTTATTTACCTCAAAGGGTAAAATTGACACATGAAAAAATTAATAAAAGTCAATGGACCTAAATATACAGCAAAAAATCCAATAATGACTACGAATTTTGAACTTAGATTGAAGAACTCCTAAAAAAAAAATCATATGTGGAGACAAAGCTTTCTACTAAACGTGACAACGTGTACATTATTACAGTCCACAATTTGTTCTTCACGTCCACTGCGAACCCAAAAAATAAGTTACGCGGTTGTCAAAGTCTCTCTATTATCTTGACTTATGTTGTTGATCAAGAATCTTGAATGTAGAGTATATATATGCAGCCAAAAGCTTGACTTGGAAAAGTCTTTGATGATGACCATATGGCCTCACTTGTGCAAAAGATATTCCACTCAGAGATCCACACACATAACATATCCATATAACTCTTGGCTAATAACCCAAGCATCAAACAGACACCTTGATACAATTCCCATGATGAAACCAATTCTCAGCAAACCTCTTTACTTTTCCTTGTTTGTGCACCTGATCATTGTCACCGTGCTCGCAGCCAGCGATCCGCAACCTATCTACTCTCCGGTTGAAGATATCACCGTTAATTGTGGCGATTCCGGCAACAAGACCTTTGAAGATGATGGCCGAAATTGGATTGGAGATGTCGACTCAAGATTTTCACCGTTTGAGCACCAAGCAGTTGGTAACAAATCCGAATCCAAAGAAGCACCTCATTCGTACCCCGTCAAACCATTTCCTTACACCACAGTGCGGCTTTCTCGCTCTGAATTTACTTACAGTTTTAAACTCAGTAGCGGCCAGAAGTTCATCCGCTTGTATTTCAACCCAGTTTCCTATGGCCCTGACTTTGACCAATCCAAAGCCCTCTTCTCAGTCAAAGCAGGGAACTTTACCCTTCTCCACGACTTCAATGCTTCAGTCACTGCCGAAGCGTTTAATTTTACCAAAATAATATACAGAGAGTTCTGTTTGAACATTGATGAGGAAGAGAGCTTGAACATCACATTTACTCCGAGCAGAAAAATCCCAGATGCATATGGCTTTATCAACGGAATTGAAATTGTGTCCATGCCCACCAATCTTTACTACAGTCCGCCTGAAATCGAAAGCTCCCATGAGATTAAATTGGTTGGCAGTGAAACCAATTTTCACATCGAAAACAGCACTGCTTTGCAGATGATGTACCGAATAAACGTCGGTGGCAAGCCGCTATGGTTCAAAGATGACACGGGCATGTACCGCAATTGGGGTGGTTCTGCAGATGAGCTATATTACTTGGACCAATTAAGTGTTACGAGAAGCGTTGAACCACAAAACGTTAGTACTCAACTCAACTTTTCTGAAATATCAGCGAACACAGCACCAGAGGAAGTGTACCAATCGGGCCGGTCGATGGGCACCAACGATACCTTAAACAAGAGCTACAATCTCACCTGGGTTTTTCCCGTAGATTCCAAGTTTTATTACCTGGTTAGGCTCCATTTTTGTGAGTTTCAACATGCAATTAACCAGACTTACGACAGGACGTTTGCAATCTACATGGACAATCAAACTGCTGAAACAAATGCTGACATAATTCAATGGAGTGGTGGAAATGACAGACCAGTGTACAAAGACTACGTGGTATTTATTCATGAAGGACACGAGTATCTTTTTCTCGCACTGCGTGCAAATCCAAATGATCAGACGACGACATACAGCGATGCACTCTTGAACGGGCTGGAAATCTTTAAACTTGACTCGGAAGGAAATCTCGCCGGACCAAACCCAGTTCCACCTCCTATGATCCTACCAAAGGGGCCCTCAAAACCCAACAGCAACAACAAGAAGTCAAGGCCTCCTATGCTTGCCATTGTCGGTGGTGTTGTAATTTCCAGTACACTTGCAGCGCTATGTGCACTCGGGTTCTTGGTTTTCAGGCAAAGGCGGAAAGCCAAGGAGTCCGACTGGTCCAGCCACGGAAAGACGAACTCAACCAACACTCGCGGCTCATCTTTACCCTCCGATTTGTGTCATCACTTTTCACTAGCGGAGATCAAGGCCGGCACCCAAAACTTCAACGATATTTGTATTATTGGGCGTGGCGGGTTTGGCAACGTGTATAAAGGATACATCGATGATGGAGCCACCCCCGTTGCAGTCAAACGGCTGAAACCAGAGTCGTCACAGGGGGCCCACGAGTTCAAGACAGAGATCGAGATGCTCTCTCAACTCCGCCACCGTCATTTGGTTCCACTCATTGGGTATTGTATGGATGAAGGTGAGATGATCTTGGTGTATGAATACATGGCACATGGGACCCTCAGAGACCATCTTTACCACACAGATAATCCAACTCTTTCTTGGGAAGAAAGGCTTCAGATTTGTATTGGCGCAGCACGGGGATTACACTACCTTCATACCGGTGCCAAGTACACCATCATCCACCGTGATGTAAAGAGCACAAACATTTTGCTAGATGAAAAGTGGGTGGCCAAGGTTTCGGATTTTGGGTTGTCAAAAATGGGCACAATCACTATGTCCAAGACCCACATCAGCACGATGGTGAAGGGTAGTTTTGGGTATCTAGATCCCGAATACTACCGCCGTCAACAACTCACTGTGAAGTCTGATGTGTACTCATTTGGGGTAGTCTTATGTGAGGTGTTGTGTGCGAGGCCAGCTTTGATTCGTACGGTGGAGAAGAAGCAAATGAGCTTGGCTGAGTGGGCCAAGAACTGTCACCGAAATGGGGCACTTGAGCAAATCATTGATCCGAGCTTGAAGGGTAAGATTGAAACCCACTGCTTCAATAAATTCGCCGAGATTGCAATGAGTTGCGTGCATGATAATGGGATTGAAAGGCCATCAATGAATGATGTATTGAGCGGGCTTGAGTATGCATTGGAGCTTCAACGGAGCGCTGATAGGGATATCATCAACAACACTAATACTGGAAGGAAGAAGGAAGATGAGGTTGCTCTCGCCAAGGACATGCAAGGGTTTAGTTCTAGTGAGAAAAGTTGTGCGACCAGTGAATCCATTACAAGGATGCAGATGTCCGGGACAATCTTTTCCGAGATCAATGATTCGGAGGGCAGATGATGATGAGGAGCATTAACTCACCAAATAATCTGCCTAAAACCGTGGCATGGCATGGAATAAATGGCGAAAGCAGTTAGTGTCACAAAGATCAGATGATGTTTCTCACTCATTCCCCCATTACTATTCTTAGTTTTTAGGTCATGTTTTCATCTGCCTCTTTAAAATTCGAGTTGTTATTTTGAATTTTGAGGTGATTTGAGAGGTTTATTATTATTATTATTATTTTAAATAAAGAAAGATGTTATACTAGCAAGACTTTTTTGTTAACAAAGAAAGATGTTTTTGGGAATTTGAGGTGTCACTTACAAGACTTTTGTTAACAAAAGAAAGATGGGCTTGTTCATGTAAAAAAATAAATAAATAAAAGATGGAATTATTTTAATGAGAAAAAGAAATAAAGTTTGATGTTCATACTTCATATAAGACTGGTTTGTTTTGATAGTTATGAACCTCCGAAGATAAATTTAAGGGTCCATGTCCATCTCACTGTGTGGATCACATATTATATATCAACTAGTATGATATAAAAAGAGTGGACAGCTTCTTTTATTTTTGTTTTTTCTTGACCAAAGAAAGAATATATGGTAGAACTTTATTTTTCCTTGACAGTACTAATTGGACTAGTCACACAACGGATAAGAAGGGCCAGAAGCTGTGGCCTCCGCTGGCCTAAGAAAAGTAAGGGCTAGACGAAGTGGCTAAGATAGAGAAATAATCTGTGCCAAGCAATCGCACTAGCATTATTGATTCCCTTTTACATATATCTCTGTCAATTACTGCAGGCGACAAAACCATGTGTGTGAAAATGATCATAAAACTCTAAAACCCTGCTGTCTGTTTGTGTTGAATTATCAACGCACCACCAGTACCACGCGAGGACTTCCATAAGTTAGCAAGCTACTGCTAGCTTTATAATAAGAGTCGCGGGTGTTGTACAAACCTGCAGTGCGAGAGAAAATAACTAACAAGGAGGAAGGAGCTGGGAGCTGCAGGTGTGAAGATGGGTCACCGATCTCATTCAGTATCTCTAATACTGTTGGTGATGCTAATGGCCATGTCGACGGAGCTGCCAATCACAAGCCATTGCATGATGATGAACAAGAGCAGCACTCCCTTGATCAACTGGTCTAATAATTCCCTGGTCGAATTCGAATTTGACCGAGTCCTGCTTAATAACAACATTAATGGAGCAGAGGGTGAATCGGACTTGGGCTTGGCGGTCGGCATGCACATGGTGGATTCAGAAGAAACTAGCAGAAGGCTCTTGACAGCCCAACCGTTTCGTTTTACATTGCCTATTCTAGTACGTATCCGCCCGTTTTGTTCGATCCCACGCGTCCCGTATGATTATTGCCTTGCTCAAAAAAATATCCGCACCCGTAACTTCTGTCGCGGTGCTGACCCGTTCCGCAGGGACTGCAAACGTTGACTTGCCGCAATACGTACGTATTCTGCTTCTTGTTAGAGTCATGCAATATTACACTAGTTTCATTTCTGGATGTAATTAATTAAGTGGGCATGGACGACACTTGTAGACTGGTCGGCTCTGCTTGATTTGGTTATGGACCATGTCTTAATTAATTAAATAAATAATATGCTGTTGTTGCTTGCCTTAGTAGATAGTAAAATTTGTATATCATGGTGATATTACTGTTTTGTTATTGTACTTCACAATTGCGTGCAGTCTTGGTGAATATGATGAAAATCTAATAAAAGTTACTTATTACGATTAGACCATGGAAGTCTTCCACAAGGGCATATCCATGCAGCATCATTGAATTTATATTGTCAGCCATTGAATTTACTTTAACAAAATCAGACGGCTAAGATTAAAAGAGGAAAGAAAAGGATGTGATATTTTTATTTATTATAGGATCAGTATACCCAAAAGCAAGTCTTTGATGCTTGATGAAAAAACAAACGAGATATTTAGTCATATACTTATTCTTAGCACTAAAACTATAAATAAATCTTACATTATTTAATTTTTATAAACAAGTCTATAAAAAACCCCAAAAAATGACAACTGGCCTTATTGAATTTAATTTTTACTATTAAATTACTTTGATATCCTTTTGAGTGTTTTGGGCTTTGTTATAAGGTTTTTGGGTTTGGTTTGTTTTAAGAAATCAATGGCGATTTTGTAATTTAAAAAAAGTTAAAAGTCTTTTTATTATATTGTAAATGAGCTTTGAATATGTTTTTAAAGTTTATTTCATATAAATATATTTTTTTAAAAATTTAAACTCCTATATTAGGTATAATAATGAATCTTCCAAAAATAAAAGGCAAGTCTTTGATCCATATCCCACTCCAAGTTGTGCATACAATCTAAAATGTAACGACAACTAGAAGACCAGCTCAGCTGATTAAAATCATTGGACGTTTTGGTCAAGTTGTGCTTTTCAGAAAAGAAAAGAAAACAACTTGCTTTTACATTTCCGAGCAATTTCTCACAAAAAAAATATGCATCTCTTTGCCCCTTTTTTGGGTAACTGGAAAATATCAGACATCTCAATGATAAAAGGAGACCGACAACCATACGCCTACCTACCAGACACGTCAACACGTGACGAAGATATGGTAGCACTGTAACAATAGAAATCTTATGCCTGAATTATTTTATGTTGACGAACATTTTTTATTTTTTTTATTATTATTTTTTTTTAAAGCAAAAGAAAGCTTAAAGTATACACCAAAGAGAAGAAAGTTGAAAGCTTTTAACTTTCCTCCACAAAGAAGATGGAAAAGAAGAAGCTCTGAACTTTCAGAGAAACCATTCCGTAAGCTTATTCTCCATATGAATACAACAACACTTGATCAGAAGAAGACTTTCCAAATTCTCATTTTAAAATTAAACAGGGCAATCTCTCTGTTATGTTTCAGCAGCTTCCCTGTTTCTCACTTGATCATCATCCTCCTCCTCTTAATCAACACCTTAATTACCTTCTGATCTCTCTCTTCTCTTAGATATCATCAAGAACCCAATTAGCAGCAAACACATTTCCAAAACAATAACCATGAAGAAACTCCTCCTCCCTCCTATGTCTCTTTACCTCCTTCCCCTGTTTCTGCAAATCGCCACCCTACTCTCTGCACCTATCTACACTCCGGTCGAAGACATCACCATCAACTGTGGCTCTTCCGGAACCTCACCCAACATTTATGACAACCAGAATTGGACTGGAGATATCAACTCAAAATTCTCCCCCATTGAATTACACCAAGATAACACCAACACCTCATCCCAAGTCAGAGAAGCACCTCCCTCCTCTGTTAGCCAAGTACCCTACACCACCGCTCGGCTTTCTCTTTCCGAATTTAGTTACAAAGTTCCCCTCTCCATCGGGCAGAAGTTTATTCGTTTATACTTCCACCCAGTTTCATATGACCCCAGCTTCGACCGATCCAAAACCCTCTTCTCTGTCCGAGCAGGTGGCTTTACTCTTCTCCATGATTTCAATGCTTCTGTAACTGCTGATGCTAGTGAGACTGAGACGCTAATAAGAGAGTTCTGTTTGAATATTGATGATGGACATAGCTTGACCATCACGTTCACTCCGAGCAGAGCAATCCCAGATGCTTATGCCTTTGTCAATGGGATTGAGATTGTGTCCATGCCCACCAATCTTTACTACACTGCATCTGAAAGCCATGGAGTTGATTATGTAGGCAACGAAGTCAATTATCGCATCGAAAACATCACCGCGATGGAGATGGTGTACCGAATAAACGTCGGTGGAAGTGCACTCTCTTTCGACCAAGACACTGGGATGTACCGCAATTGGGGCAGTGTCGTGGACGAGCAAAAGTACTTGGATGATTTGAGTTCCAGGTGGACTGTTCTTCCACAAAACGTTAGCCTTCAACTCAACTTTGTGAAAATACCAGAGTACTCTGCTCCACAAGTAGTTTACCAAACGGGCCGGTCCATGGGCAGCAACCACACCCGAAACAAGAGCTACAAACTGACCTGGGAATTTCCCGTAGATCCCAAGTTTCTTTACCTGCTAAGGCTACATTTCTGTGAGTTTGAGCCTGAAATTATGGACCCCGGGGACCGATCGTTTCTAATCTATGTGGAAAACCAACTTGCTGAGCCACAAGCCGACATAATCGTGTGGAGTGGTGGAAATGGGAGACCAGTCTACAGGGATTACGTCGTGTTCATGCCTGCAGGCCCTGATCAGAAGAAAGTTTGTGAATATGATATTGGAATGTGAATATGATATTGGAAGAGAATAATTTTCATTGATAGGTACAATTGGTTTTATACAAGAGAGTTCTAAGTATACTAGGAAACGTGTCCTCTATTCTAGGGAACTTACTAGGAAAGTAAATCCTAATTACAACAGTATTGATATTAATTGATATTATACAAACTGATTTCCTACACTCCCCCTCAAGTTGAAGAGTGGATATCAAGAACTCTCAACTTGCGAACAAGATTGTTGAATTCTTCTCGTCCCAATGCCTTAGTAAGAATATCGGCTAACTGAGAGGACGAACTCACATGTTGTGTGGCAATCAAACCTTCCTGAATCTTATCTCGAATAAAATGGCAATCCATCTCAATATGTCTTGTTCTCTCATGAAATACTGGATTGGCAGCAATATGTAAAGCTGCCTTGTTGTCACAATACAACAAAGCAGATTGGTGATGAAGAATGCGCAAATCCTTGAGGAGGGATCGAAGCCAAGATAACTCACAACATGCTGCTGCCATAGATCTATATTCAGCTTCTGCTGATGATAAAGATACAGTTTTCTGCCGCTTCGATTTCCATGAAATTAAAGAAGATCCCAGAAACACACAATAGCCTGTAGTGGACCTTCTAGTATTAGGACAACCTGCCCAATCAGAATCACAGAAGGCACGCAAAGTCAAGTCATTCTGAGAAGACAATAATATGCCTTGACCTGGCGATTTTTTTAAATAACGAAGAATACGAAGTGCAGCCTCCATGTGAGGTTTACGTGGGGCATGCATAAACCTACTTAAGACATGAACAGAGTAAGTAATATCTGGCCTTGTGATGGTCAAATAAATCAAGCGACCAACGAGTCTTCTATACTGAGCTGGATCTTTAAGTAATTCACCCTTATCTGAGAGCTTAAGACCTTTTTCCATAGGAAAATCAACAGGTGCGGCACCTAGGAGTTTTGCATCCTTCAAAATTTCCAATGCATACTTGCGTTGAGATAAGAAAATGCCCTGTTTTGATCTTGATACCTCAATCCCCAAAAAGTATTTCAAATCTCCAAGATCTTTAATACGAAAATGACGGTGCAAAAAAACCTTGAGTGCCGAGACAGCTATAGGGTCATTGCCCGTGATAACAATGTCATCAACATAAATCAATAATGCTGTGAAAGAGTGCCCCTTATGGCGTGTAAATAATGAATAGTCAGCTTTAGATTGAATGTAACCAGTAGAACAAATGGCCTGAGAAAACTTAGCAAACCATTGACGAGAAGCTTGCTTTAAACCATAAAGAGATTTATGAAGGCGACATACCAAGTTCTCCCCCTGTCGCCGAAGACCAGGTGGAGGGAGCATGTAGATTTCCTCATGGAGATCACCATGAAGAAAAGCATTGTTGACATCAAGCTGATGAAGGGACCAATTACGGGCGGCAGCAAGAGCGAGAAGGCAGCGGATAGTGGGCATTTTGGCAGTAGGAGAAAAGGTATCATGATAATCAACACCTTCTAGTTGAGTAAAACCTTTAGCAACCAACCGGGCTTTGTAGCGCTCAACCGAGCCATCAGACTTAAGCTTGACTTTATACACCCACCGACAACCAATGGGCTTCTTTCCAGCAGGTAACGGAGTAAGACTCCAAGTGTGGTTATCAGACAAAGCCTGCAATTCAGACTGCATGGCCTCTTGCCAATGAGAGTGGGGAGCAGCGTCCTCATAAGAACTGGGTTCAACAATAGTACTGACTTTTGCAATGAAAGCAAAGTGAGCGGGGGAATAACGATGATATGAGAGAAAATTGCAGAGCGGAAAACGTGTACCTTTAGTAGGACCCGGCAGTAAAGAAGACGAGTGATCAGGGATGGGCAACATGACTTGATTGCAGATGTAGTCACGTAAGCGAACGGAAGGCACAGGGATGCGTTCAGATCGGCGGAGAGGGGGTGGGTCAGGTGCGGGTGCATGTGGACTGGTGACGGGTGAACCGGGGACGTGCCCAGCTGGTGGGGATGAGAGCAAAGGTGGACTGGGCTCAGCAGGCGCGGTGGTGGTGTCAGGTGGGGACGAAGGCAGGGGATGTGGACTGGTGGGGGTCGACTCAGGTAAAGGAGCTGCTGGAGAAGAAGAAAAAATGGGGTCGACGTCAGAAGGGAAAGGAGGTGCCGGAAAGGCAGAGGGAACCGAAAGTGATGGGGAAGGAAAAGTGTGGTAGGGAAAAATATTTTCATGGAACTTAACATCACGACTTGTGAAAATTTTGTGAGACTCAAGATCATAAAGTTTGAAAGCTTTTTGGCCGAGGGGATAACCAAGGAAAACAGATGGAATTGCACGAGGAGCGAATTTATGTGTGACATGAACATTAGTGGCATATGCAAGGCAACCAAAAACACGGAGATGAGAGAAAGATGGTGTTTTGGAATAAAGACGTTCAAAAGGAGTGTGAAAAGAAAGAAGAGGTGTAGGAAAACGGTTGATGAGATGAACTGCAGTTAAAACACATTCCCCCCAAAATTTTGAAGGAAGATTAGCCTGAAGTTTTAAAGCACGAGCCGTTTCAAGGATGTGGCGATGCTTACGTTCTACGACCCCATTTTGTTGAGGCGTATAAACGCAAGAGTGTTGAAAAATGACGCCTTGTTCATGAAAGAAAGTCTGAAGAGAAAGAAATTCCCCCCCATTGTCGGCACGAAGCTGTTTAATTTGGGAATCAAATTGAGTGCCAACAAAAGAAAAAAAGGTTTTTAAAAGATGTTGAGTCTCATGTTTATGGCGCATTAAAAATACCCAAGTAAAGCGAGAAAAATCATCAACTATTGTAAGAAAATAATGGGCACCAGAAATTGACGAATGCTTATAAGGGCCCCAAATATCACAATGAATTAAATCAAATGGTTTGACAGATGAGATTGAACTTGTTCCGAAAGGGAGACGACTCTGCTTTGCCAAGGGACAAACATGACAAGCGTTATTAGAGACAAAAGGGAAATCTAGTAGATGCTTAGACATAAAATGTAATCTGGAGGAAGAAACATGGCCAAGACGACGATGCCAAAGGTCGGTAGTGGTGACAGTGTGATTGCAGGATGGACGGTGAGCGGGATTTTGGTGGGTTGTGTTGGGGGTTGTCTCCGCCAATAGTGCCACCAAGTAATAAAGCCCGTCAAGTTGCTTACCCAAACCAATCGTCTTCCTCGTAGCAAGGTCCTGCAAAACGCAATAATATGGGAAAAAAGTCACTGAACAATTCAAATTTTTTGTAAGCTTACTCACAGACATCAAATCTACTGTGAAAGTAGGTACACATAGCACATCACGCAAAGTATAAGTAGAATTGAGAGGGAATGATCCTGTTGGACAGAAAATAAGCAGGGGAAAAGTGGGCATGATGCAGACACTGCATCAAAAATGTTCAAATAAGTAATTTTAAAAAATAAAAAAAGAGAGAGAGAAAGAGAGAGAAGGTAAGCTCTTCTTTGAATAACTTTTAAATGTCACTGCCAAAAAGTGCATAACTCAAACGATGCCACATATGTTCCACTGTTTATGAAACTAGAAAGAGATAATATGGTAAGAATAGTTGTCTTACTCTCTTAAAACTTACAAAGTCTCAGCCATATAGGTGACCATTTTTTAATACATATAAAGGATTCTGAAGTTCTAACAACTACCCCAATTTTTAAAAAAGAAATATCAGCCATAGAAGATAGAACAAGATAAACAATTACCTTATATGCGACAGCCTCTTTGAGCTTCTCGTAAAAAAATGTATTAAAGAAATGGCAGTCAAATATTCCCCTGTCCTTTGAGGATGCTTGTTGCTGTAGATATATCCCACAAGTGAGTAAGTATTTAAACTTGACAAACACATCCAGAGAAATCATTATCAAGAGGAGAAAATTACTCCACACACTGCCTTCAGATATTGCAAATTATCAAACTAAAGGGGTTAGTCATTAGCTATTCAAGCCTGCAAAAAGAAGCATATAGGAATGTTACCTCGTGGCACAACTAGACATGTTCTCCCCACAGTGGCGAAGTGGATAAGGGGAAGAATCCATGCCTTTATGATCACCATTTGAAAGAGAACATTTATCTCTTTTATGACACAAATTGCTAAGGCATTGGCGACGTAAAAATCTTGATGAAGAACGATCTTTATGTCCCCTTTTGCAATAACTCTCCATATATTGCTTTTCATGTTCTGCCGGTTACCGAGATGTAAAGATGATTCTCCACGATATTCACTGGCTGTCCCAGATTCTGACTGCATAATAGATTAAGAATGAAGTGATTGTATTCCAACTTTAGAGGCCACTTAAAAAATTATAAAGCTAAATGGAGCTCATTACCTTTTCTTCCAGCTTTCGTTTAAAGCTAAATGGCGCTCATTACATTTTCGATCTCAGGGGAAGTATTTTCCAGATTTAGTTCCTCTACCTGTTGTTTCTAATCTACCTATTAGTAGCGCCCAACAAGATGTGTCTTTACATCAAGAAGTGTGAATATGATATTGGAAGAGAGTAATTTTCATTGATAGGTACAATTGGTTTTATACAAGAGAGTTCTAAGTATACTAGGAAACGTGTCCTCTATTCTAGGGAACTTACTAGGAAAGTAAATCCTAATTACAACAGTATTGATATTAATTGATATTATACAAACTGATTTCCTACAAAGTTAAGCTCTTTCTTGCACTGCAAGCAAACCCGAGAGATTGGATGACTGCATACAATGATGTACTCTTGAACGGCCTTGAACTCTTCAAACTAAGTGATACAAATGGAAATCTCGCAGGACCAAACCCCGACCCACCTCCACCAAAGCCGATGCAGCCGAAAACCCCCTCAAAAGAGTCGAAGAAGAAGTCAACTCCTATGCTTGCCACCGTTGCTGGTGCAGTTTCCGCCATACTCGTATTATTCTGTGTCCTCGGATTCTTGGTTTTCAGGCGAAGAAGAAGATCCAAGGACACCGATGATGACTCATTTTTACTGTCTGGTTTGTGTCGTGAGTTTTCATTGTCGGAGATCAAAGCCGCCCCCAAAAACTTCAACTAGGATTTCATTATCGGTGTTGGTGGGTTTGGCCACGCGTACAAAGGGAGCATCGATCAGGACACAAACCCAAGTCGCAACATAGCGGGGGAGGAGATTCGAATTTGAGCGATGAGATGAAGAGTGAAGATAAGGTGTGGCTAAAGAGTGAGAGTGGTGCAGGGTTTATTAGTTGTAGCTGGGAAGACTCATCGGAGATGAAGGAGAGCAGGGTGACCAAGACTAGTAATCAGAACAATTCTTCTACTAACGAATCCATGACAGGAATGTCTGGGACTGTGTTCTCTGAGATCAACGATCCCAATGGACGATGATGATTATCTGTACAAATTAATATTCTTAATCATATATGGTATAGGGCTTGCGTGGAGTTGTATATCCATATGATGCAATTGTATATATATTTGTAATTTTTTTCTCCTTGTTTTTAATATTCTGCGAAATTAAAACTTCCATATAGGCTTGCAATTTCTTATTGCATACCAAATTGGAAATGTTGATTAAAGATTCCAACACTAATTGTAATTTTGTTACTGTAAAAAATTACTTCCTCTTTTTTTTATTTTTTTTATTTTTTTTATTTTATGCCTAAATAAAAATTTATTCCTCACTGATCATGCTTAGTAGATTCCTCTTCCTTGAAATTGTTAGAAAGTATATAGATAGTAGAACTTCAATTTTCTTAGGGTAGTCAGATTGTCAATTTTGGATGGAAAAATGTTTGATGATCATATGTCCCTACCCTACTTGTACAAAAAAAATTCCAGTCAGAGATCCACACACCTACACATAACATATCCATAACTCTCCCTCCCTCTACTTATCTTTGCTAAACCCCACACACACATAAAAAGATGGTCTCCTCCTTATTTCAATTGAATCAAGCATAATCTTTAAAAAGGAAAACAATAACACTATTTATAACACATTGCATCACGCATACACTGTGGGGTCAATATTGGCAGCCGTTGAATTTACTTTAACAAAGTCAGACGGCCAAGATTAAAAGAGGAAAGAAAAGCATATGTGATATATCTTTTTCTATTATGGAATCAGCATAACCAAAAGCAAGTCTTTGATGTTTTGTTTTTTTGGTAACGCAAGTCTTTGATCCATATCCTGCTTACGCTCAAGAAATTCAATACAAGCATGCAAACAACAATGCAGCGACAACTAGAAGACTCGCTGATTAAAAATAATAGGACGCTTTTGTCCCCTTGTGGAAGAAATCAGAGTGATTGTGCTTTTTATTTGTGCTTTTCAGAAAAGAAAACAGAAACAACTTTCTTTTACATTTCCACGCAATTTCTTAGAAAAATATACATCTCAATGATAAAAGGGGACCTCCACTGACACATTTGAAATGACAATCATAGGCCTACCTACCAGACCCATCAACACATGACAAAGATAGGGTAGCACTGAAACAATAGAAAGCTTATGTCTGAATTATTCTCTCTTGACGAACCTAATTTCTTTAAAAATAAAAAATAAAAAAGCAAAGAAAAAGTTTACACCAAAAAGATGGAAAAGAAGCAGCTCTGAACTTTCAGAGAACACCACTTGTGTAGCTTATTCTCCATGTGAATACACACTTCTTGATCAGAAGTTTCAAATTCACATTTGAAAATTAAACACGGCAATCTCTCTGTTGTGTTTCAGCAGCTTCCCCGTTTCTCACTTGATCATCGTCGTCATCCTCTTCATCAACACCTTAATTACCCTCTAATCTTCCTCTTCTCTTAGATATCATCAAGAACCCAATTAGCAGCAAATACTTTTCCAAAACAATAACCATGAAGAAACTCCTTCTCCCTCCTCTGCTTCTTTACTTCCTTCCCCTGTTTCTGCAAATTGCCACCCTACTCTCTGCACCTATCTACACTCCGGTCGAAGACATCACCATCAACTGTGGCTCTTCCGGAACCTCATTGAACGTGGATGACAACCGGACTTGGACTGGAGATATCAACTCCAAATTCTCCCCTTTTGAATTACACCAAGCTAGCACCAACACCTCATCCCAAGTCAGCGAAGCACCTCCCTCCTCCTCTGTTAGCCCAGTGCCTTACACCACGGCTAGGCTCTCTCGCTCCGAATTTTCTTACAAAGTTCCCCTCACCACCGGGCAGAAGTTTATTCGTTTATACTTCCACCCAGTTTCATATGACCCCGGCTTCGACCGATCCAAAGCCCTCTTCTCTGTCCAAGCCGGTGGCTTTACCCTTCTCCATGATTTCAATGCTTCTGTAACTGCTGATGCTAGTGAGACTGAGAAGCTAATAAGAGAGTTCTGTTTGAACATTGATGAAGAACAGAGCTTGACCATCACGTTCACTCCGAGCAGGGCAGATGCTTATGCCTTTATCAATGGGATTGAGATTGTGTCCATGCCCACCAATCTTTACTACACTGCATCTGAAAGCCATGGAGTTGATTATGTAGGCAACGACGTCAAATATAGTATCAAAAACAGCACAGCGATGGAGATGGTGTACCGAATAAACATTGGTGGAAGCGGAATCTTATTCAATCAAGACACTGGTATGTACCGAAATTGGGACAGTCTACGAGAGGAGGAAAAGTACTTGAGTTCTAAATGGAGCGTTCTTCCACAAAACGTTAGCATTGAACTCAACTTTGTGAAAATACCAAACTACTCTGCTCCACAAGCAGTTTACCAAACGGGCCGGTCCATGGGCAATAACCACACCAGAAACAAGAGCTACAACATGACCTGGGAATTTCCCGTAGATCCCAAGTTTCTTTACCTGCTCAGGCTTCATTTCTGTGAGTTTGAGCCTGAGATTATCGACACCGGGGATCGATCGTTTATAATCTACATAGCGAATCAAACTGCTGAGCCACAAGCCGACATAATCGTGTGGAGTGGTGGAAATGGGAGACCAATCTACAGGGATTACGTCGTGTTCATGCTGGCAGGCCCTGATCAGAAGAAAGTTAAGCTCTTTCTTGCACTGCAAGCAAGCCCAAGAAATTGGGAGACTGGATACAATGATGTACTCTTGAACGGCCTTGAACTCTTCAAACTCAGTGATACAAATGGAAATCTCGCAGGACCAAACCCCGACCCACCTCCACCAAAGCCGATGCAGCCGAAAACCCCCTCAAAACAGTCGAAGAAGAAGTCAACTCCTATGCTTGCCATCGTTGCTGGTGCAGTTTCCGCCATACTTGTATTATTCTGTGTCCTCGGATTCTTTGTTTTCAGTCGAAGAAGAAGAGACAAGGATACCGATGATGACCCATTTGTACCTTCCGGTTTGTGTCGTGAGTTTTCTTTGTCGGAGTTCAAAGCCGCCCC